TTTCTTCATTACCCATTGAAGCCGTCTCCAGCCATTATTAGTCTCAAAGTGGGTTCCTCGTCGTCGAATTTGAATCCAGGGAGATGTTGTCATCATCCTCATTTGCTTGTGTCACTGAAATCAAAGTTCAACACCAGTTCCTATTCGCTTTGTCAGCATGGAAGAAATTTTAACTTAAGAGAAATACATATACTTCAAAAATATTGCTCTTTAGTATAAATTAAACTTGTATGCTTGTTCATATAAATTACTTATTATTAGCTCATTTTTAAACTTGTTTTTATGACATATTCAGGAAAAGCATATCAACTGTATAAAATTTTACAAACAGTACCTAATTAGGGGAAAAAAAGAAGTAAAGGGTGATATTAGACTAAGCATATGTGTATCTTAATAATTGTAACAAGTCATGTGCCATTTTCTATCAGTCAATGGGTGAAAGAAAATTCCAGAAGTGGTACATGGTATGTTGCATAACACTTTTGAAAGTATTGTTACGTCTCCGTTTGTTAATTAACTTTCCGTAACTTCGTTCCAACGAAACTTAAGCGACACAAGTTCTTTCTTAATAAAAACTGGTTTATTATTTCCGAATACAACTTTACCGATACACTCAACTTCAACAATCGCGCTAAACAAACGCTATATCAACGAACGTCAATAATACTTCTGACTGCAGATCAATTACACACTGTCTATACACACATTACCTTCCCCTCTTTTATATACCAGCCTACCCTATATCTAGTAAGAACTAGAACATTCGCCAAAATACATGATAGTTCTAGAAACGTTGCGTCACAGTAGTCATGTGACTCGATGACGCAACATTATTTATGATTATCGATGACTACTGCCTCAAGGACAACTTAGAGATCAGAAGAGTGAATATAACGGTCAAAGTGCAACTCTGCTTGCTGTCAGACCAGTAATCTGGAGTCTTTGTATTACCAGGAATATTGAATTTGCATGGAAACGAGGCTAACAAGGTATCGATTTTCAAGATAAGGCTTCAAGTCGCACATCCTGTTCAATTGTCGTGTACCTCAAGCAGCTGAAGAATGAAATAGGTATTCATACTATTCCATACGAATACATACTGGTTAAGTTACAGCATACGGCACCTATAGATTTCTCTGTCATTGTTATTTTAAAATGGAGACTGAGAAGATTTTGTCCTCATACACTAGATCAGGGGTCACCAAACTACGGCCCGCAGGCCAGATCCGGCCCATGAGGTCATTTCATCCGGCCCGCCACTGCACTGTGCTACAAATGGGTGTGATATAACTATCTTATTGCTAACGTCGCCTTCTTTGATAACCTTTTGGAAATAAACATGTTTGTTGCCTTTATTTTTTGTGTATTCACTGTATTGTATTGAACAAAATAGTTATGCGGCCCGTACTCGTCATTCATCTCAGTTATCTAGAAAAAAGTTTGGTGACCCCTGTATTGAAAGATAACTGAACTTCCAAGTATTTTTCCTTATTATTTTTTTCTCCATCTATTGAGAGATAACTGAATTTCCAAGTATTTTTGCTGTATCTATTGAGAGAAAACTGAACTTCCAAGTATTTTTTCTCCGTCTATTGAGAGATAACTGAACATCCAAGTATTTTTTCTCCATCTATTGAGATATAACTAAACTTCCAAGTATTTTTTCTTATTATTTGTTTCTTCATCTATTGAGAGTTAACTGAACTTCCAAGTATATTTTCTTCATCTATTGAGAGATACCTGAACTTCCAAGTATATTTTCTTCATCTATTGAGAGATAACTGAACTGCCAAGTAATTTTCCTTATTATTTGTTTCTCCATCTATTTAGAGATAACTGAACTGCCAAGTAATTTTCCTTATTATTTGTTTCTCCATCTATTGAGAGATAAGTGAACTTCCAAGTTATTTTTTATTAATTTTTTTCTCCTATCTATTGAGGGATAAGTGAACTGCCAAGTATTTTTCCTTATTATTTGTTTCTCCATCTATTGAGAGATAAGTGAACT